CTTTTTGATGAGAGTATCATAGTCCTTCTTTTCTGTACCATTTAATTCAGTCAAAAGTGATCTTTGCATTGCCACTTAGACAACTTGCTAAGTATAGTCCAGTTGCAATTGTAGTTCCACTGATTTAATTTCACAGCAGATCTTGAATGAATCAATAAATTCATATAAATCTTCTTTTCCATCAAATTTTGGTGGTTTTAATCTTCATATTCAGGTGATTTTCTGTGTAAGATGTGTCCTTCTGCTGGTTTAAGAGGGGAAAATCAATTTCTGGATCAGGAGAAGTTTCTCTGTTAGTATAATTTGATGTGTGGGTCACTCTTAGTCTGTTGTGGGGTATTTACTCTTTTTCAGCTTCTCAATATCTTCTTCAAGACTTAAAAGCCTTGTATGTGTTTCTTGATTGTCATTGGACAGAGTCATTAGACTCTCTGTAATTTTTGTAAAAAATCATTTCCTCTATTTTCTGGTTCTAAGTTGTGGTGTGGGGGTAACTGGGGATTTGTTCATCTAAAGTTTCTTCATCTGAGTTTTCTATATCTTGGTATTCATCTACAAAATCTGGTTTCTGAATCTTCTTACATTTTGATGTCTATTGTCAACAATGACTTCAAACAGGGTCAGTGGTTAGAATCCCAGTCCCCTAATTTTCTTTCTGATGAAGAAATAAAGAAATACACAATTGTTATTAAGACACACACGCACCATAAATCGCATTTTAAAACTATTTCCATAGTTGATAAAAAAAAAAAATATTCTCATGTATTTAAAAAATTTAAAAAATGTTACATCCAAAAAAATTCATAACCAAATTTCACCCAGAAATATAAAAAAAATTTAAAAAATGGGTTAAATTTTTTGTTTTTTTTCAAAAAAGGCCCGATAAAACAAAGGAGGTCAAAAAAGTACGTTTTGAAAAATTTTCCCGGATTAATTGGTTTGGAAAATTGGTCAATATTTTGATGGTTAAGGGTCCCTTTTTCCACCAAAACTCTTGAGGTCTTTTAAAAAAAAGGAAAAAAAGTGGAAAAAATTCAATTTATCCCGTAGAGCCCCGGAAAGGGGTAAAAAAACCCAAAAAAAATTTCGGGGGATTTTGTGGAAATTTTAAAAATTCCCTTTTTGGTTTGGTTTTAATTTAATGTCCCCTTATTCGGGGTTTTAATTAATGTTTTTTTCAAAAAAATCGGGGAAATAATTGGTTTTAAAAAATTTCTTCCTTTGTTTTTTTCCCTTTTTTAAATTTTGGCATTAAAAAAAATCCCCTATAAAAAAGGTTTTAAATTGAATGGAAAATATCTGGAAAAATGATTTTGGAAAAAACAAAAAACTGGAAAAAAAATTTTTTTGGAAAAACATAAAGGGTTGAAAAAGTTTTTAAAATTTCCAAATTCTTTGGAAAGTTGGGGTTTTCCGCATTTGTGGGTTTTTTATTTTATCTAAAAAAAAAGGTTTCACCTTTTTTTTATCCCCACTTTCTGAATCACCAGTTGTTACGACACTTCCCCCGGACCGGGGAGAGCCCCTGCCTAGTCCCCACGGGGGACTAAACAACAAACTATTAATTATAAAAACTCCCATTACTCAGGATTGTAGGTCTGGTCCTATAATATATGCGGGTAGATATTCAATATAGCTTATATCACTTCCCTTATAATATTGTATTTTAGCGGAATGGGGGTTAAAGTCTGATTCGGGGTCGTCCGAACCTGTTGTATCAGGAGAAAGCCAGTAGTTAGTTTTACACATCTCATTTATTTCATCAATCAACGTCATTCATTCATGTATATACACAGTCAACAGTAATATAAATAATACATGTAGTCAAAATGGGTACATATCCGGAAACCACTCCAGTTGGGTTTCGTTTACTTAGTTACATAGATAAATTGTTCTGTACAAGTTTATAAATACTTGTAATTTATACGTTTATTAGATCTATAGTAATTTTTATAAGTGAAATATATATTTATAAAATGATTCTGGGTACTACCTCTCCAGATGGATATTTTCTATAAGACATTGTGTATAGAGGTTGCGTCTGTAAGCGGACAATACAATTGACCAAGTTCAAGGAAAAATCTGGGGTATTTATAGGAAAAGGTTCACATGACCCCTTGAAACAGTAACGTGACTTCATATAATGACGTCCCTTTGTACCCAGATGGGTCATGTGATCTATTTGATGACGTCACATTGTCTCCATCTTAACTCGATTAAATACAGAACATATTCTACGTCTCCATCTGGAATTCTAATCAGTACCAACTAATAAATGGATTAAACACAAGGCATGGCCACATGTTTGATGAGTTATGTAGCATTAAATAAGTGATTACAAATGGGCAAACTGGCGTAAACATTAACGTATTATACATATGTTAATAAATCAGAATAAAGTTGATAACTGTCAACAAGTATTAACGTGGTTTCCGGGGTTATAAAAAGTGTCATGATGTTCGGACGAAATGAACTTCGTAACACATACTTATTACTTTTTTTAAATTACCAAATCCATAACATCTTAAATCCTCTAGAAAAGTTACAGTACATTAAAATTGTATCAAAATTCGAATAAAAATATCACAAAAATATGTCCGTTTAAAACGCATTTGTGATTTCAAATATCGTCCGTTTGACGTACGCTATGCATTTGAGACCGCAGCCACTTCCCACAGTGGACAGCGAAGTCCCTGGTAAAATTCAAGCAGAGTGATAAATCCCCGTTTAACGCCCATCTCTTTGAGCTTGACTTTATCCTGCTTTTCTCCCTCCCCCCCACAAAAAAACAACCTTCAAAGCTAATGCTACACAACAACGTTAGTTTAAAAGTAATATATAAGTACTTAAAGTTGATTGGTCTACAATGGCCACATTTCCATAAGTATTTCAAATCTTTATAGAAATATAAAAAAAAAATTCTTATTTCGATTTTCTTAAAAATATTTCTTGAAAAAGAAATTTTAATAAAGTTTTTAGTGATTTCGTATAAATTTGTTTATGATGAACAATAATATTTTGTTCTTATTTGCTATATAGTTATGGTTGGATCATGTATCTTACAATTGCCAACGATATTCATAGATTAGTTTTTCGTGGTCTGTTGTAATGTCAAATACGAAATACTATCAACATAATTATGTCTACCAAAATTTTTTGGAGACATATTGTTTTTGCCTTCGCCGTCTGTCTGCCGTCCGTCCGTCCGCATTAAGCTTGTCCGGCCTTCCGCTTCGCTGCACAGAATGGCCACCAGAGCTAAAAATAGAAAAATCTTGTCTGACCTTCAAAGGTCAAACTACTGATGGGAGTTCAATCATTTACAGGAGTGATCTGTACCACCCCAACAGCGCGTTCCGCTTCACTGCACAAATCGCCGCCACAGCTAAAAATAGGAAAATCTTGTCGGTCTTCACAGGTCAAACTACTGTTGGAATATCAACCAAACTTTACAGGAGTGATCGATACCATCCCTAGTTGTGCAGATTACCGGCATGTTCCGCTTCGCTGCACAAACGGCCACCAGAGCTAAAACAATAGAAAAAATCTTGTCCGGCCTTCACAGGTCAAACTACTGTTGGAATATCAACCAAACTTTACAGAAGTGATCGATACCATCCCTAGTTATGCAGATTACCGGCATGTTCCGCTTCGCTGCACAAACGGCCACAGAGCTAAAAATAGAAAAAATCTTGTCCGGCCTTCACAGGTATTGATTACTCTTGAAGGAAAAAAGGTTTGTTATAGTTTTATAAGATGTTTTGATTGAACAGTTATTACAAATAATAATATAATTTGATCATATTTATATGCGCAATACAATGAAATATTCATTCATTTCGAATAAACTGCCGTTTAGTCGGGTAATTTTGAAGAAAACCCAGCGGTCAGATCACTTTCGAGTTACACTTGCGGTGAGTTTGAGATTACATATCTTCTGATAATTTGAAATGATCGTAATGACAGCTTTATTTCCTTCAAGAGTAATCAATTCCCTACCATTTGGTACCAAAATATTGAAAATTGGTGAAAAAATGTTGAAGTTATGGAGTTCATATTAAGACGAGTGCTGAAAATTGAGCGGCGAGTTGCATACCTTTACTAAATATATATGTATCAATTTTTTATTTTTTGTAGGAAATGAAGGTTATTGAATTAAAAGCATAAACCAAATATTAAAACATGTTTCAAATGAAAAATACTGTATTTTACATGGTTTTGAGAGGTAGGAGGGCTGTAGAGTTGGTGTGGGGGTGAGGGGGGGGGTGCGGGGGTAGTGACCAATCAACGCGCCGAACACCTATGGTCTAACACACGCGGCCATCAATCCTTAGAATTGATTACTAGTCTGACCCGTTATCCACATGACCATGTCACCACTACTCTATAGCAGTTTGTGAAAAATATTTCATAAAGTAAAAGTAAAGAGGTCCATTGTAAAAAGTAATCAAAGGATATCAGCATAGGTCATTTATTTATGTGGTGTCAGAAATGCGAGACGATTTCTTACCACATTACCACAGTGCCCTTTTTACTCACAAAATAATGTTTATGTAAGTAATGTTAACATTATCCCTCTGGAATGAATAAATGTTTCTTCTTTATAAAGTTTAAATCATGCTTTAAGGGCATTTGTGATGGTTGTCAGATGAAGAAAACAGCGTCGAATGTGAAATTATCGGTCATGAAAGTAGCAAAATATAATCAAAGTAGTATTTTGACTACCATACATAATATTTAAATCACTATAATTGTACTTATTGCCAAGTAAAAGATGGTTTAGACAAGTGGCCGAACAATCACTTTTTGAAAACAATAACAGGACATCCAAAATAAAATGATTTTTTTGAGAAACAAAAATAAAAAGCATTACTGGTCTTTAAAAATTGAAGTATTCATGCGATCTAATCAAAGAGAAATTGCTGAGCTAACATTGTATTTAATAGTAGCAGCATGCCTGTACTGTGTGCAATTATTAACCATTTTAACTTTCTTTTCAGTGACAATATGTATCATAAACTGTTATGACACATCCGGGGCAGCTTTTGTTCAGGTTTTCTTCACGGTGGCAAAACTTCTAGCGATAGGTATTATAATCATCGCAGGGTTCGTAAAACTTAGCAAAGGTAAAGTACAAATTTGCAAATGATTTAAATATTCGAATGTTAAGCAATAACAAATCAAACCGTATTGCCCGGCACTCTTGCATTTGACCCTAAACGGTCGGACATACTTCCTGATCGGGAAGCAAGGGGATTTCCCTTCAAGGCTTCCCGATCAGGCAACAAACGTCAAAATCCTTCCCGATCGGGAAGCGGCCTTTTTTAAGTTGTTCAGGAAAAATGGCCGGTGCATAATAGTTTTCAACCAACTTCAAAATGAATATCACACTTTAGTGCAGAAAAGATACATCTAAAATCCTACCTGGTCATTTTATTTTAAAATGTATAAATTAAATAATCGGAAAGTTAATTTTAGTGAAGTTTTACGATTTAACTAAGAAGTAACTGCTTCCCGTTTTGGAAACACTGTTTCCTGATCAGGCATCTAGCAAAATATTCATCATTAAATGTTTCCCGTTTGGGAAGTTTTTTTCTCTTTATGTTAGCGCGCTCTATGCCGGAAATCTTTCGTGTTGATTGAGAGTGCTTGGGACAACACCAACAAAAAAAGTTATCTGTGCAACAAATCAACAGAGTCGTAGTAATCTGGTGTGTCTAGCAGTTCAGATACAAATGATAGCATCATAGGTGGTGTCTTCTCAAATTTTGTAAAAAGGAATATTCGAATATATTCGAACATGGAAAATGAATAGTCGAACATCAATTTTCTTATTCGTTCCCGGCCCTAGTTATATTTATCATGCCCAACTTTGTCGGTCAGTCCATCTGTAGACCGCAGTTATTATCTTAAAAACTATTTATCACAGAGTCTTCATACTTCACATACCAATTGGCCATACCTAAAGTAGATGACACCTATTTATTTTAGGGTCACTAAGTCAAAGGTCAAGGTCACAGGGACCTTAAATGTCAGAATGGTTTCTGCTCATTATCTTGAAAATTATTTCTCACAAAGTCTTCATATTTCCAAATTGATTAGTCATATGTAGTAGATAACTCCCATTGATTTTGGAGTCACTATGTCAAAGGTCACAGGGGCTTAAATGTCAAAATGATTTCCACACAATATCTTGAAAAGTATTTATCACAAATTTTTCCTATTTCATGTGTTGATTAGTCATATGTGGTAGATGACCCTTATTGATTTTGGGTTCACCAGTTTAAAGGTTATAGGGTCCTTAAAAGTCAGAATGGTTTCCGTTTATTATCTTGAAAACTATTTATCACGAAATCTTTTATATTTCACTTATTGATTGATTACAATTAGTAGATGACCCCTATTGGTTTTGAGGTCTTTAGGTCAAAGGTCACAAGGATGTTAAATGATAGAATGGTTTCCACTCATTATCTTCAACACTACTCGTTAACAAGTTTTTTGTGTTTCAAATTTTAATTGAACATTACTAGTAGATGACCCTAGGTCAGAGGTCACAATAACGTTGAATGTTAAAATGGCCAAAGTAGATGCCCAAAGTTACATTTATATAATAATATATATTTTATTCCAGCTACCCTCCATTTTGTATAATTTACTATTGGTAGATTTCATTTAATTATTTAATTTCAAGGTCATAATTATATTGGTCATTGTTTATCTTTTTCTATAACTGAACACTTCCATGCACCCATTTATGGCATATTTCTATAACAAAGTTACCAATAGTATGAGTCAAGAGCTAGAAGGGGGCATATATGTCATTATGACATTTCTTGTTTTATTTATTTTATTTTATTTTATATTTTATTCTTTTCTTTGTTTTAATTAAAAGTGGTATAAGTTTCAGAAAATAGAAATGTGATACAGTCACTACAAAAACATGTAGTATGAAAACACGTCTTGAACTAGATCTACAGCAAAAAAATATTTATATTTATCAAAATCATTACCTTCATATATCAACCTCTAAGTTTCCTCATCTGTTTGTGAGCTCTAGTCAACATTAAACTTATATGAGCTGCATGGAAATTGTTTTGAGAAATTAAACTCTGTGCAATGTTGTTCAACATGTGCTATACAATCCTAACAGTATGAAACTTTTGTATTGTAAGGATGATTTTTGTACTGTCCGTCAAGTATAGCTAATGTTTTGATAGATATTATTACGCCTTACAAGAACATAAGCTTCGCCAGATATTTTCCACTCATCGTGTTTGAATTATGTTCCACATGTCTTTAAAAACTGACCAGGCTTGGCAATTTCTAATCATCAAGATACTAACTACAAATATAATGTACTTCCAGATTGGGAAGCAGTGTACATGTATCTTAAAATTTAATGACGTCACGTTGTATTATTATTTGGCGCGCTTTTCATTTAGTATTAAGTTCAAAATTGAATGTCTCTTCAAAACGTTTCTTTGCATATGACAAAAAGAAAATTTGTTTTGTTTAGTGTAAGATCGAAATATATTTCACCTTGTGAACACCAAAAGTTCATATTCAACTCGTGGCTGCGCCACTGGTGAAAAATACCTTTTGGTGCTCACTCGGTGAAAGATTTTCCGATCTTACACTGAATTAAACAAATACTTCCCCCTAAACGTATCGTATATGCTCGGACAAGGGCTCGCAATAAAATTAATTTTATTCAACTCGTGCAATAACTTTAGTATTGAACTGCACTTATTCAATATCCTCTATTTAATATTATAGCATAAAATCGGCTATTTTTCACCTCTTTTGCCCTTGGATGTTGTAACGGGACCAAAACCATGTGTTAACATAGCCACGCGCTGTTGTACCTATCGCAATACATTACTTAAATGCTGATATAATTTTTTTTACAGAATACTGCAAGTTTTAACAATATATATATCTGTGCTATTCTTTTTTCTATCAGTATTAAAGAATTGACAATTAAATAAGTAATGATATTCATCACCAAGTGAGCTAGTATAGCATAAGTTACACACTCTTAATTCTCTTCCAGACTCAATAGGTAATTTATGGTTCATACATCTGAAGCGCAATAGTACTAAAGCTAAATGAGATGGTAAAATATCTAAGAACTTTTCAAATCTGAATTCACTTTTGCACATTGTATAATTAATTTACTGGATTCTGACATTTCACTATGCCAATTTGAATGAACTGATCTTTCAGTCTATTCTTAACTATTTTCTTAAACAATGGAAGAGAAGTGGCAACATTATTTATCCAAAAATTTGATAAACCCATTGAATCTAGTAAATTACATCCATGGGAGTTTCAACACATTTCTACAATATAAAGAGTGTGACATATCATACAAGATATGGCTTATTATTTCTTGTTTGCTACTTAAAATCTTATTCCAAAAGCACAAAACTCTACTTTTTATATAATTAGATAAATGTAATATCCCTAAATCTCCATAAAGCATACAATTTGGAGTACTTTGTTTCAAATTTAATATGAGTTTATAAAATTTTAATTGAAATCTATCTATGATATTCCCCACACTTCGCTACCATATAACAATATAGGTGCTACCATGCTATCAAATAAATGAATTTGCATACTGATAGGTAGATCCAATTTTCTAGCCTTAACTATATAGTTAAGGCTAGAAAATTGGATCTACCTATCAGTATGCAAATTCATGGTAAATTTGCTAAAACAAAGAATCATTTATTAGAACAGGCAAGAAGGCTATGTTTTCAATTACATAATTGAAAACATAGCCTTTCTTGCCTGTTCTAATAAATGATTCTTTGTTTTAGCAAATTTACCATTATAAGAGAATTTAACACCCAGATATGAAAAATCATCAACAATCTCTGGCAAATTACCTTCGATTTAATCATATTTTATTGCTTGAAACATGTACATGTAACATAGAGATTACATTAATACAAAACAGAATACAATAAATACGAATAAGGAAACATGTATGTTAACAGTTTGAAGCAAATGGGTTGGGCCACAAGTTTTACCAACATTAATGAAGGCCCTTCCCAGGCAAGTTTAAATGACAAAATGTTCATTATAAAGATACAAAACGTAATTAATGTGTTAGGCGAAGAAACAAGAAAATAAATGTTTTTTGCGCATCATCAGAGCAATATTTACAGTTTGCTTCTATATATATTGATATAAAAGTATTTAGATGACAATATTATGAGAAAAAAAAACAACAACAACAAAAAAAATTGATATGAGGTTTATGAAATAGAAAAAAAATACACATTCTAAAACATCCAAACTTCTGTTCACCTTTCCTCTGAAAAAAAAATAAAACAGGTTTCGCCTCCATTTCCGTTACTGGACCAGCATTAAAAATAGAAATACGGAGTTATATTTAATTATCATTAAGATATATTAAGTTCTAAAACGATTCGTATTCTTTATATATTTTTGAACATGCCCAAAAATAATGTCATTATCTTCAGGCGACAAGTTATCAATTCCAAACAGCAGTTTCTTTACACTGAAAGGATGATATGGGCGGGTATTAATGAATAATTGATGGCGCTGTTGATGAAATAACGGACATTTGAAAAAATAGTGTTCTGCATCCTCTATGGTATATTTTTTTGATTATCACGTAAGTGGTTGTAAAATAAGTCGGAGTTTAGGTTACTACATTTATTACGTATTCTTGCATGATGGATCTGTGAAAATCTTTCACCAGAAATGAAGAATGGGGGAACTATTGGGGGTTTAAATTTTTCTTTTAGATTACATTTAAAAGCTGATAATGAGTCTACAGTACGAGAATGAGTGTCCAAATTGTTCCAAAGTTTGATAGATGAAGGTATTGTAGATTTAGCATATATTTCAAGCCGGTGTGCCATAGTAGCATAGTCAGAATTGTTTCTCAAATTGTATGTATTTGCTTCTAAAACGGTATTTGGAAAAAGTTCAGACAGATAACAGGGTAATTCTCCACGGCTATATTTATATACCAAAATTAATTTCGACAAATTACCTTCAAAACTAAAGGCTGGGATATAACATAAACCTCTTTTACTTTTACAAAAAAAAATTTTTTTTTTAGTCTTATTAGGATATAGAGGATATTTGTTTAGTTCAGTTTGGAATATATTTCACCGAGTGAGCACCAAAAGGTATATGAACTTTCGGTGTTCACAAGGTGAAATATATTTCGATCTTACACTAAACTAAACAAATTTTCTTTTTATTATATGCAAAGAAACGTTTTAAAAAGACATTAAACCTAATACTGAATGAAAAGCGCGCCAAATAATAATACAACGTGACGCCATTTATGACGTCACGTCATTAAGTTGGTACCCAGTTCTGTGCACGCTGGTATTTCACTGAAACAACGTAAGGGGCTTAAATTCAAAACAGTGAAATTATCAAAGTGGTAATTTTACTGTTTCAAACAGTGAAATTACCAGTTTTAAATCACTGATATATTTCTATAAACCACCGAAAAGCATGTAATAAAAACTTGTAAATGCCATAATTGACAATAATTTGACATTGCATCTATAGTGCTTTTTGCAGTTCTTCAGCAGATTCAGCAAATATAACTGTATCCTCAGCATATAAAAGAATGTACAACTTAAAATACATTTCAACATCAGAATCACTCAGGGTATCATTTACAATGTTTGATAGTAGATCCAGACAATTAAAATGTTGTGACAGAAAATAGTTTAAATAACTTAAGAATAAAGAAAACAATATGGGAGATAGCAGCATTCAAGTAACTGTGCTGGAAATACGGCGTATAGACTTCACCGCTACAGTAATCTTGATTGTCGCCCTTTCTAAGAAACAAACGGACAATTGTCGATGTAAACAAAAATCATTCAGTTTAACCCTCCGATTAACTTACATAACAAGATAACACAAAACGAATATGAGAAACTGTTGTTTTATTGATGTTTATATTGATAAATGCTCTAAATATTTCTTTGAGAGAATAGTGTTTAGTGCCTGATTTTTTATAAACTTGTGTGCTTGAAAAAAAACAACAACAAACGATTCTGTATGGCATGTTAAACGTTGCAGAATTCAACACATTTAATTTTTGATCTATATCCAATATTTATATTGTATAACTGTAATTTTATATGCTATACCATACATAGGCACTTGGTTTTGGGATAAAAAAAAAACCTTTGAGGGGTTTGTAGAACTCAAATATAATTGACTGTAACAATTTTTTAACTTCGATGTCTCTTTTTTAAACCGTGTTTTTTAGTAACATCGGAAAAATAACGATTAAAGAAAATAGACAGAGGTTCGCATTCATATGATTTTGATCAAATCGTTCAATAAATTTAGTATTAAACCTACACTCATACAATATCCTCTATATATAGCGTATATGCACTAAAGCAAGATACATGACTATCACAGAGACCATAACATTGATAAAATGATTATAAACTTTGAGATGACTCGAACTGTGACACGGAAACCGCCACTATAGGCAGAACGGCTGACACTGCAAGTGAAATCGACTAGTAAATGCATTACTTTGTACTATAAACACGCAATACTTATTTAAGATAAATGAAATAAGAAATATAATTGTGTAAAATCTCTGCTTAAAATGTATCCTAAAACCAGATCTAAGAAAACGATTTCAAATTAATTCTTGATCGGTAGCCAATACGCCACACCTCACTTACGTGTGAAGTTAACAAATACAAATGTATATCGATATATTTATACGTTGTACCAAAGACACCTTCTAAATTTATCCAGAATACGAACCTAGTACAACGATCCGTTAGCGGACGAACGACCACACAATTAATGATTTTTCAATAATGGGCTGGAAAAGCTATACGGGAATGACCAATACAGAAAAAACAATAGAAAATTTGTGGAAAAATAAATTAAGAACCTTTAGACCGTATGGAGTTAATACCAAAGAATAACGCGGCAGACGGCAAACAACGGCGGGCGTCGTTCATTGACGTTACGTCACTTCCATTGTTTTGTTTGATAGATTTGTATGTAAAATAAATGCTGCTGAAGAAGGCCGCAAGGCCGAAAGCTACGGCAAATTTCAAATAGCGATTTTGATATATTTATCCATATAAATGTATAGAAAAATCGCACGAAAAATCGGCACACCGCAGCACGGCCGTTACTTTTTCTTCGTGCTTATTTAAGTTGATTTTATGATGCACTAGTCCGATTGGACGGGGGTGCACTATGTAATAACAGAAAACGAAGAAATTATTGAAACAAGCGAGAATAACATTTATATTATAATTTAGATAAAATGTCTAATGAAGAGTAACAATTTTGTTACTTAACTTAATGATCAAAAATATAATCAAATATAAAGTTTGATGTCGTCTGTTACTTGTTACTTTCTACATAAAACCATCCATATAGCCCATACATTCTGAATACTTCGGACTTCTAGGTATCGTCACGTCTCAGTGATTTTCTTCCTTCTCTTGAGAAGGAAGAATAATTCAATATGGTAGGGTATAAAACCCTTATCTTGTGCTTGTCCTTAGATATGCTTTATTTGAGAGAAAAGTCAAATATGATAACTGATACTAAACAGCTTTAAAAAAAACCCGAAGCGGAAGTTAAATTCACATATATATATTGACAAAGTTATTATTCAGGTGGTGATAAAGAATTATGGAACGGGTTCGAAGGGACAACTGACTCACCTTCTAAAATTGCACTGTCTTTCTATGACGCCATGTGGGCCTACGACGGCTGGTAAGTACATTCAGACACGATTCTTTACGGTTCATTGCCGTTAACTCGAATGTAATGAAAGACTTTACTTAAACTTATTTTTTCATACAAGATTTTAAATACATGAAAAGTGTACCTTTGACAAGTACAAATGTTGCTGCAATGCAGCAATTGAGAAGCTCCGCGCAAAAATGCGCTCATTACAGATACCTTACCAAATCATTCCTACGCACAGGTCATTTTCTATTTAGATTAAGTACTATTGTACATTATTCCGGATGTTTTGTAAATCATTTAAATTTGCATAATTATACTTATCGTATGCACTGTCCATGAGAGAGGGGCCAGATATTAAATTTTAAAAAAATGCTTTCACTGATGTCTACCTCCTGGTAAGGAAAGTAATTTCAATACAAACAAAACTTACAAGATTTGTAATATGAAATGACAGTAGTGCAACATTGTTCTGTTTGTGTAGTCAGTAATAAAAAATATTAAAGCATGTACATTTTCTTTTTTACCTGTAATGCTACTCATTTTCTACAAATATCAACACCTAATCATGGTAAGAAATATAAAAATCCATATGTATATAAGCTAAAACAAATACTTTCATCGACTTTATTTTTCAAAATGTTCGTAACATATATATATAGTAAATGGTTTATCATGATATAACAAGAAAAGCATTGAGGCAAAGCATCAAAGGGCGTCCAAGCAAGAAATGCAACAAGCGACCACGAACAAGTAGACATCTGATGACCAGATTTTCTTTTCAATGATCAATTGGATTTTACCAGAATTGTATATCATTGATGTATGGTGGTCGAAAAACATTGTTCATTGAACATTGGTATGCTTGCTAGAGATTAGAATATTGAATGTATTTTCTTTTGAACATACAAAACAGAAGTCAAAATAAGCAAAGTCTGTTCTTTATAATTATAATTGTAACAAATGTACAAACAGTATATAAAAATAGTAACAAAAGGGACTAATATAGCAATATTACCTGCATTTTTTATGTCAAAACACACACTAGAATGAAAATTTGGGATGTTCGTGAAGTTGGCAGCCTAGCTGCTTAGCAGCCTAAGGTTGGCAGCCTGGCAACCTATCAGCCTAAATAAAACTAACAATAGTACAACCATGAAAACGGTCGGGAATGCATCAGTAGCACTTCCTTAGATCATTCCACACCTTTTTTCAATATCGTGATTTTTTTTAAAGATTTTAAACTTTATCTTAACATATTTCTTTTTCATTCTGACTCTTCGAAATTTGTGAAGTTAGCAGCCTAGTAGCCTAAAGAAAACTATGGATAGAACAAACATGTAAATTGTCGGAAATGAATCAGTAGCACATACTTAGACCATTCCACGTCTTATTTCAATATCGTGATCTTTTTTTTAAATATTTAACTTATTTTTTTTTTTCATTCCGATGCTTCGCAAATTTGTGAAGTTAGCAGCCTAACAGCCTGTCAGCCTGGCAGCCTAAAGAAAACTTAAGATAGTAGAACATGAAAACCGTCGGAAATGAATCAGTAGACAATCTAGGACCATTTCACGTCTTATTTCAATATCGTGATCTTTTTTTTTTAAATATTGAACTTATTTTTTTTTCATTCCGATGCTTCGCAAATTTGTGAAGTTAGCAGCCTAACAGCCTGTCAGCCTAGAAGCCTAAAGAAAACTAAGGATAGTACAAACAGTCATGAAAACCATCGATAGTTAATCGGTAGTCCTTAATAAGACCGTTCCACGTCTTATTTCAATATCGTGATCTTTATTTTATTTAAATATTGAACTTTATTTTTTTTTTCATTCTGACGCTTCGAAATTTGTAAAGTTAGCAGCCTAACAGCCTGGCAGCCTAGTAGCCTAAAAAACTGATTTGATTTAAACATATTTTATTGCCAAAAATAAGACATATACATACATGTAGACAGTTACAATACAATGACATGACATATTTGGCAAAAGGGTTGACCCACAAGTTCTCTCAACATTAGCAACGGGTCCTAAAAAACTAAGGATAGTACAAACATGAAAACCGTCGGAAATGAATCGGTAGCACATACTTAGACCATTCCATATTTTATTTCAATGTCGCGATCTTTATTTTTTAAAATATTGAACTTTATTTGATGCTTTCAGTGGATTACTGATTTATCCGTGAATATTATATTTGATAATTTCACAGTGAAAATTATCAAAATATAATTTCACACTTTTCAATGACGAAACTACTTTCTTAAGATTTTCCCCATGTGGTACCTCAATTTTAAATTTACTGACAATTCTGACAATGTCAGACAGTTCAGAGAAAAGCAAAACTGAAATTGATAAACATTTTAAATGTCAAAAGTAATAAAAAGAAGAAAACCTACATCTATTCATTTAAATTACCAATCACCAAATATCATCTCATACTTTGTTTGTTTCGTTTTAACAGTCTGCAAAATATATTCCTTCCACAAACTGCTCTTGATGACATTTGGGCATATTTAAGTATCCTACGAGCAATAACTGCCGTTTGCTTTATGAAAACTTGAAAAGCAATCACAGCCATCAGCCCGAAGAATAAGTAAACAACCCACCGTTCGTTAAATAGCCTTTCAACAATTCCAAATTTTCCAATTTCCTAGTCGCTTTTTGAATGTTTACACTTCAGTCAACACTTATTTATTGCACGCCTGGTAAATGATAGAGCTACCTCTTTCGGAGGTATACGGTAAAACACAAGTATAACAGCTTTACGTTTTCTGGAAACTTAAATCAAATTCACATGGCATAGCATTCTCCGAATTTTGATATTTGATGTAGAGTTTACAAAATATATAAGTAATGAAAACACTTGGCACTTAATTTTAGCGACATGCAATAGCTCGTAAGTAGCATAGAGCGATTTACCGTATACCTCCGAAAGAGGTAGCTCTATCATTTACCAGGCGTGTTATTGTCTGTTACAATCCTCAAATAAATTTTCTTTCCTTTAAAAAGGTGCATGACTAACAAAACCAAATGCTAACCCTCTGAATCAAACACAATTATTTTCCTCCCGTGAAATACACAACTTTTAAAAATGGCGGCCGCTTACATTTAACAAAGCCAGGTCTAATAAAAGTTCGCAGTAAGAAACAGAAATATGGATCGGTGGTTGGACTTTTCCTCCCACTAAAATTGTTTGTTTTTATTGTTAATACAAGCGATCATTCATAGTTTTTTTTAATAAAATGTAAAATATCACCGCCATTTAACGTTGATTGTCGAACTTATTTTCAGCCCAAGACTTCTTGTATTTAATGAGAAATATGACTAAATGAGGCTCTCAATGGGGAAAACAGATTTTAATATTAACGTTAATATTAAGGAAATTTCGTTTTAACTTGTTATTAAGCATACAATTAAAAGAATATTTTTTTTGTTGCGTAAGATGTAATTTTATTTCATCTCGTGAACTTTAAAAACAGTATTCTCACGAGTGGCGTACCCACTCGATGAAATAAAATTTCATCTTACACACAAACAAACAAAAATCCTCTATATTTTTTTCATTCTGACGCTTCGAAATTCGTAAAGTTAGCAGCCTGGCATCCTAGGAGCTTAAAGAAAACTAAGGATTGTACAAACATAACAACCGTCGTAAATGAATCGGTTTTGCATAGACCATTCCACGTCTTATTTCGATATCATGATCTTTATTTTTAAAAATATTGAATTTTATTTAATTTTACCAAAAAGAACATGGTGCTATATCAGTCAAATATATTTCATTTTTTTTTAAAAATAAATATGAAATATAAATATGAAAGTGGGCGGAGTCAAGACTCATATTTATTATGAGGGACTTCTTTCGCCATTTTGTTTGAAAAAATCTGATAAATACAAAAAACTTTTGTTGAATTTTGTTTTGAAAACTATCTAGAATGATGGAAAATGGTCCAACTAAGAAAATAAATCCCACCACTAATATCTTTAATTCAGTCATTAACGCTGTACAGACGTTTAAAGAGTTGTTTACGCTAAATATCGCGTGCAAAACAAGACAATAATTATATTATTGCGCGCTGTATAATTGCAGCTGCGTAAAAAGCAATGGGGTTCGTAACCATTTTTCTTTGATAATGAAATTCAATAAAAAGGTTATTTTTCGTTTTTCGTAAAATATGGTATATATTTTCACTCAACATGATAAAAAGGCCACATACTTTCACTCGCCGTCCCGGCTCGTGAAAATATGTGGCATTTTATCATGTTTCGTGAAAATATATACCATATTTCACTCAAACGAAAAAATATCCTCTTAATATTTGTTGGCAATATAATATATGTAATAAACATTGTATGAAAGTGTTTTTCGGCTATGTTACTGCCTAGCGTCAAAAACGTAGAAAAGCCGAAAAACACATTTTACTTGCGATAAAATAGATATATATTTTAAAAAGTGCTGCTAAATACATTTTTCAACCATTTAAATGAATAACTATTACAAAAATTGTATTACCTTTGTAAAATGGCAGTTATATTTTTTTTAATAAATACAGTATGAAAAACTTTTTTCGGCTATGTTACATAGTCAGCGTTAAAAAACATGGAAAAGCCGAAACCCACATTAGACGCGCAATAAGAAAGGTATATGAATAAAAATACCAATAAAATTAGACTTTTCAATCGTTTAAATAATTAACATAATCTAGCAGTCGTTTTATATTTATGCTATATGAACGTACGTAGTTTCAATAGAGTAAAGAACATATATAGAAAAGCAATAATTTATTGCTAATATAATGGCGACACATCATCTAAATCATTACGCAGTATTTATTTTTATTATCTTATTATTTATTTCAGTGATGAAACTTATAGGCTGGCTCAGTGTGAGCTTTAAGATTGTTGAATGTCGGTCATCCATTTTATGTCAACTGTGGTCTGTCCACATTTAGCATCATCGGATACCCACGGCCGAACCAATGTTAATCAACCATGTGTATCCGACGATGACATTTAGTTGTTAAC